TTTTTTTAATTATTATATTAGTTAATTGCTTATTTTAAATAAAACTATTGATGTTTTTAAATAATTTTACAATTAAAGAAAGTCGTAAACAAATGAAATGGAACATTTTTTTGACTATCTAATAATTTTTAAAGTAAATTATATAGAATATTCTTTATGGTCAAGGAAAAGGTGAAAATTCTGTTCGGAAGTCAGGGAAAAAGAAAATTAAATTTCTATGACAACCCTCATTTAGAAAAATTCACTCCATGTACACGGATTGGAAAGAAAAATCTCTAAACCTTTGAAACTTTTTTCTTCTTTAAGTCAATTATTGGTAAAATGTGCGAATGGAATGTTTTAAATCGTTTGCAATGAAGTTCTTTTGAGTTTTTAGAACGGCTCTTGAATACCAAGGACATAATAAAACCATCCCCTTTACTTGTTTCTTTCTCTCTGTCGTTTTTGTCCCCTGTTTTCTTTTTTCGCCAATCTTTCTCTCTCTCTCTCTCTATTGCTTTTATTTTTCGTTCGCGTTTACCATCCTTGGCATTTCCCTCTGGATTTCGCGTCAGTTTCCGTATCTTTCTTTATCTCTCGCCTAAAGGCGCGAGATCGCGCGACGCTTGTTCTATACACGTATATAGATATATATCTATATAAAAGCGTCCATAAAGGGTGGCAAAAGTAGAGTTGGAGCTTATCCTGTGGTATACGGTGCGACCAGGGGTATATATAAGCTAATATTACGGTACCCCGCGGCGAAGTGGAAAATTTCATTGAAACTTTCATTATTCATCCACGGCCTAGTCGACTGCCGTGTTCCGTAGTCCAAAGCCCGGCAAATTTAATTCCAATCACAAGCGCACGAATTAACCTGCGGCTAGTAAAATTCTCGACCAGAATTAAGTCCTGCTTTTCAACACATGTTCCGACTAATGTACCGTGTATCTAATGAAAAGCATAAAATTGTTATGAAAAACTCGCAAAATAAATACAACTCGTAATTTTTTACACAAATATATAATTAATTTTATGAAAAAGCGACTAAGGTTTATTTCATTATTTCACTGAACCGAACTGTTGGATTAACCTCTTTTATTAATTAACATAAAACAGTTTTGTTGATTCAAGTAAAACTTTGCTTCATTTTAATAATAATGCGTAACATTTATTTAGTTACCGAAAAGAAGATTTTTATTTTAAGTTTGTTGCATTTAACAAAATTAGTGTTTTGAATTAAAAATATCAGGCCTCGCACTCAATAATTAATTTTAAAAAAAGTAGTGAAAAGTAGCTTTAAGAACCAAAAAAAGTAGATATTGAAAAATTAAATTTGTCGACTAAAAACAACTCGTTTTAGATGATTCAGAAAAATAAAAAAAATTATTTCTACATTTTTTTCTAATTTTCATCAAAAGAAATTTACATTATTCCTCATACTTCTAATAACTTGAATTTTAAATTCTACAAAAATACGATTATATCTAAAAATTCTTTTTTAATGTAGAAATTTTTTTTAAATATGTACAATTTATTTCAATTCAATTAAAAAATATTTCTAAATAATTGAAAATATAATTTAATTTTTAAAAATAATGTACGGAAATTCAACAAGTCTCTTCAAAACGTTTTAATTCCAATTTTTCAAAATACGAATATTTTTTCACATTTTCAAATTAAATTATATTTAAAAATTGAATAATTTTTGTTAAAAATATTAAAATACTTATTTACTTATCCACAGAAATTACAATTACAATATTTTAATTGATTACTGTGTAAAATCTCTTAGAAATTTAACAATTTCTAAAAATTGTTGTAATTAATTAATTAATATTTAATAATTAGTTAATTAATTGTAAAAGAAAAGTTGTGTATCTCTTCCAAAATTAAATAATTTTTTTTATGATGTTTTTAATTACAATTATTCAAAACTTTAATAATTTTTTAAGAAAAAAACTTAATTTATATAAAATTTTTTTAAAGAATAAAAAGTTGAATGTTGTTACAATTTTACAACAATTAAAATTTTCAAAAATTACGATTTAAAAATCTTTTAAAATTTAATTATTTCTAAAAATCCATAATACAACACTTCTAATATTTAATTATGAAACTAAATTTTCAATTGATATTCAATTTTAAATCAATTCTTCTTAGAAAGTTTTACGAAAATTCAATTATTTAAATATAAAAATAAATAATTTATTGAATATTTCTTAAAATTGCATTCTTAGAGAGAATTTTATCAAAATTTTTAAAAATAATTGAACTCTTTTGGAGAATTTTAGTAAAATTTTTAAAAATAATTTTATTTTTCAAGAAATTCATTTAAAATTATATAAAAAATAATTGAAATTCTGTAAAACGTATTATTATTAATGCAAATAATTTAAGTTTTGCAAAGAATCAAATTTTTTAAATTTTTGTTTGAAAAATTTTATGAAAATTGTATTTTAACTTTTTAAGTCATTGAATTCCTGTAAAAATTTTATTATCTATGAAAATAATTAGATTTCTTTGAAGAAGTTTATTAAAATTATATTCAAAATAATTGAATTTATCTAAAGTATTTTATTATTTATGAAAATAATTGAATTCCAACGAAGAATTTTATTATTTACTTGAATAATTGAATTCTTACAAATTTTTTTAAAGAATTTAATTAAAATTTTATAGAAAATAATTCAATTTTTATATATAGAATTTTAATAAAATTTGTAAAAATAATTGAATTTCTTCGAAGAATTGCATTAAAATTTTTAAATAATAATTGAATTCTCGAGAAGAATTTTATAAAAATTCTTTTAAATAGTTGATTTTGCACAGGAAAAAAAAGTCTGACTCCGTTTACACCTTAAATTCAGCCCATGTATTTCACATAAGTCTGTCCTTGTTTAACGGGGCTGACTCCGTTTACATCATAAATTCAGCCTCAAAAAGAGGCTGAAAGTAAAACTTTTTTTTTAGTGTGTGTTCGAAAAGTTTTATGAAAATTGTATTTTAAGTAATTAAATTCCTGTAAAAATGTTATTATTTATGAAAGTAATTAAATTTCTGCGAAGACGTTTATTAAAATTATATTCAAAATAATTGAATTTATCTAAAGTATTTCATTATTTATGAAAATAATTGAATTCCAGCGAAGAATTTTATTATTTACTTGAATAATTAAATTCTTACAAATTTTTTTGACGAATTTAATTAAAATTTAATTGAAAATAATTTAATTCTTATGTATAGAATTTTAATAAAATTTGTCAAAATAATTGAATTTCTGCGAAGATTATGCATTAAAGTTTTTAAATAATAATTGAATTCCCGAGAAGAAATTTTTAAAAATTCTTTTAAATTACTGATTTTTTTCGAAAAATTCCAATGAAAATTGTATTTTAATGAATTGAATTTCTGTAAAAATTTTATTATTTATGAAAATAATTGAATGTTTACAAATAATTTTATTAATATTCTTTTAAATAATTGAATTCTTTTAGTAAGTTTTATTAAATAATAGTAGATATTGAAAATAATTGAATTTCTGCCAAGATTTTCATTTTTTGGGAAAATAATTGATATTTTTGAGAATAATTGTTATTATTTGAGAAAATAATTGAAATTTTCGAGAATAATTTTTTATTTCAATTATTAGCTGATTTAAAGCAGTCTAAATTCTGAAAAAAAGAAAAAAAGTATTTATTATTGTCACAAATGTAAAAAAAAGTATCCAAATAGTAGCAAATCGTTGAAAAAGTAGTAAATAGTTTATGAAGCCTGAAATATTGTTCAATTAAATATTTGGACTGAATTTCAAGAATTGACCCACAAAAATACGTAAAAATTGAAAAAAAGAACGATTTCACAAATTCCAAAGTATAAAGAAAAAATTAACAAATGAAGAAATCAATTTTTGAATTAATTTGATTTTTTCTATAATATGGGATAAAAATATGAAAGGATAATTTTTATATTTTTTTGCGTGATGTTTTGTAAATATAGATGTACACATGTAGGTGAGAAAAGAGACGCAATTGTCGAGGTAGTTTTGCCAAGATTGCTTTTAGCCTTTGACGACTTGGATTTATATAAAGGCAAGTCCTTATCCATTGCCCTTGATCGCAAGAAACGAAAATGTATTTTCGAATGTATACCGTCAAATTGAAGTTTCTCGCCTACAGTGTGCATTGATGGCCCTTCGGGAATCGAGTGAATAAAGTCGGAACTGCCGTCTCGACTAAAAAATCGATGACAAAATGAATTAAAAGTGAAGTAAAAAAAAAATAAAATAAGAAGAAGAAAAAGTACCTCGTCACGATGACTATATAAATTTATACAATAGCATAATGGGGTTCATAAAAAAAAAGAAATTACACCACATCAATTTCAATTATCTAAACTGGAGAAAAATGGATCATAATAGTTGTATAGTAATAAATTGAAAATAATTAATAATAATAATAATGAAAAAACAAAAAAAATAATAATAATAATGATTGAAAATAAGAGATGATTTTTAAATTTTAGCTTTTTTAAATTTTTAGCATTTTGATAAATAATATAACTATAGTTTAGATAAGAAATAATTAACGTAAATTGACATAAAAAATTAATAATTATATAACAATTTTTAAGTTATATTCTAAAATATAGAATTTGATATTGAAAAATATTTTTTTGCCACACAACTTTTGTAGTTTTCTGATAAAGAATTTTTGCATTTTACCATTAGCTTATCAGGTTAACTGGAAGTAAACAAATAAATTTTAAATGAAATATTTTTATTTGCTTTTTTTAACTGTGACAATGCATTTTCTGACATTGGAAATATACTTAAAAAGATTATTGTATTCAATAGATGGAAAAAACTCCTTGGTAAATTTTCTGTTAATTATTAGTGCAATTGTTGTGAAAAATTATTATTACTAGTGCAAATTTATTAAATGTCAAAAGTTGTCGAAGTGGCTGAACGTTTATAAATAGTGCCATTAAAAAAACGCATAAGCTCTCCTGTATAAAGAGAGAAAAAAATTTTAAGTTACTACTTAGTTAAAGAAGAAAAATTGTATATTTTATTGCTTTGTTCTCTCTACTTTTAGTATTATATTGTCATAATGAAAAACTTTGGTTTTTTAATTTTTTTATTGATTTCGATTTTATTCTCGATGTTTAATTTTGGAGCGAAAGCAAGTGAGTTGCAAGAAATTTTTTTTTAAGTATCAGTGCAGAAATTTTTTTTACTTAAAATAGAAGATATATATTCTGCAAACATTTTATTTTGAAAAATAATTATTTTAATATTTACTGAAATAAATTTATTATAAAAAAAGACAAAGTCATTTATTGATTCTAATGAAGAAAATCGAACTAGTATTGAATCATTTTTCACTAAAATTTTAGTCAAAGAAAAAATATTATAGCTTATTTTTTTTTTTACATTAGAAAACTGATTTTAACACCTAAAGTATTTGCACATTTTTTGTTTTAAGCATAAAAATAGATTGAATTAAAGGAAAAATGCATTTGATTTGATAGTGCTTTAGGACTTATTGGTTTTATAGTAAATGACTTTGCGGTTTATTGATTTAGAGATTGAAAATAATTAAGTGAAGATATTTGAATAAATAATGTAAATAATCATATGATAATTTCTCTTCTTTAGTTAGTATGGATGGTTATGCTAACGCCTGGAAAAAAAACTATAAAGCAAATGGAAAATAGATAATTTATATCAAGAGTTCAACCAAATTTTATTACATCAAGACAAATGGATTAGTGTTTATCATTATTATTGTTATCGACAATTTGGCCAAAAAATAATAAAAAGAATATCAAATAATATATTTTTATTGATAGTATTATTAATTATAGACAATTATTTTACTTGAATAATAAATTTAAATTATAATATTGTTTATATTTTCAAAATTTTAATATAATTCTTCGCAAGAATTCAATTATTTTCAACAAAATTTTAATAAAATTTTATCGAAAGAATTAAATTCTTTCTTAAATAATAAAATTCTTTGCAGGAATTCAGTTATTTTCTAACCAATTTTAATTGAATTCCTCGGAAGAATTTAATTTTTAAAGAAATTTTCAATATATTTCTAATAAATTCAATTATATTCTAAAATCTTAATAAATACTTGGAAACAATTCAAGTATTTTTATAAATAGTAAAATTCTTCGCATGAGTTCAATTATTTTTATAAATAGTAAAATTCTTTGCAGGAAATCAATTATTTTCAAAACAATTTTAATTGAATTCCTCGGCACGTTTCTAATATTTTCAAATGTTTCCATGAAATTCAATTATTTTCTAAAATTTTAATAAATTCTTCGAAACAATTCAACTATTTTTATAAATACCAAAATTCTTTGCAGAAATTAAATGATTTTTAATTCAATTTAAATAGAAATTACACGAAAAACTTTAATTACTTTAAAAAATTTCCATAAAATTTAATTTCAAAAAGAATTTAAAATTTTCTAAAAATAATTTCTATAAATAAGTAAAATTCTTCGTAAAATTCTTCTTTTAAAAAAATTCAAAGAAATTCTTTAAGAGAATTTAATTAGGATTTTAAAAAATTTTAATAAAATTCATCGCGAGAATTCAATTATTTTGTCATGTATAATAAAATTCATCAAATTATTTTTAATTTCAATTATTTTTAATACAATTTTAATTTCAATTCTGTTAAAGTTATTTGATTTTTTTAATATGTATTTAATACTATTTCCAAAATTTTAACACAATTCTTAGAGAAATATCAATTATCATGATAAATATCAAAATTCTTTCCAGAAATTCAATTATTTTCAAAAATTAAAAAAAAATTCTTGTCATAATTTCAATTATCTTTCAGTGTATCTAACGATCAGGGAAGTTAGGAAATTCAGGGAATGTCAGAGAATTTCATTGAAAAGTCAGGGAAATATCTAAAAATTTATACAAAACTTAAAATTTTTGTGAATAAAATTTTTTTTTTAAATCTAACAAAACTTAAAAGATTTTTATTATCGTATGTTTCTATTATTAGATATTAATTTATTGTTACATATTTCAGTAACCATATTTTTGTCCCAAGAAAACAGAAATAAAATTAGTAAAAAGTCAGGGTAAGAGTCAAAGAATTATTTTCTCGATCCTTGTTAGACACACTGCGTAAATATGTAAAGTGTTTTTGAAGAGCCCAAAAATATTAAAGCTAAATGCCATAAGAGAGAAGAAAAAATATTAAATCTTAAAAAATTCGGTTTTTCGAATTTTAGATAATTTTAAAAAATTCAAAATTTTTACCAAATAGTAAAGATTTTTAAATATGTAAAGTGTTTTTCAAGAGCCCAAAAATATTGACGCTAAATGCCATAAAAGAAAAGAAAATATGTTGAATTTTAAGAAATTCGGTTTTTTGAATTTTTGATAATTTTTAATAAATTTAAATTTTTTACCAATGGTTGGAGACTATTAAATAAGTAAAGTGTTTTTAAAGAGCACAAAAATAGTGAAGCTAAATGCCGTAAATGAAAAGAAAAAATGTTGAATTTTAAAAAATTCGGTTTTTTGAATTTTTGATAAATTTTGATAATTTTAGATTTTTTACCAAAGGGTGGAGACTATTAAATAAGTGAAGTATTTTTGAAGAGCCCAAAAATAATGAAGCCAAATGACATAAAAAAGAAGAAAAAATGTTGAATTTTGAGAAATTCGGTGTTTTGAATTTTTCACAATTTTGAATAAATTAAAATTTTTTACCAAAGGTTGGAGACTATTAAATAAGTAAAGTGTTTTTCAAGAGTCTAAAAATAATCAAGCCAAATGACATAAGAGAGCATAAAAAATGTTGAATTTTAAGAAATTCGGTTTTTCGAATTTTTGATAATTTTAAAAAATTTCAAAATTTTACCAAATAGTAGGGACTTTTAAATATGTAAAGTGTTTTTTAAGATGCAAAAAATATTAAAGCTGAATGCCATAAAAGAGAAGAGAAAATGTTGAATTTTAAGAAATTTGGTTTTTTGAATTTTTGATAATTTTTAATAAATTTAGATTTTTTACTAAATGGTGGAGACTATTTACAGGGTGTCTAACGGTCATGTTGCCAGGGAATGTCAGAGAATTTCATTGAAGATCAGTGATGTTTCTAAAAATTTATACAAAAATTAAAATTTTTGTGAATAAAAAAATTTTTTTAATCTAACAAAAATTAGAAGATTTTTATTGTCGTTTATTTCTATCTTTAGATATTAATTTATTTTTAAATATGTCTGTTACTATATTTTTGTCCTGAGAAAGTAGAAATAAAATTAGTAAAATGTCAGGGAAAAAGTCAGGGAAAAGTCAGGGAATTATTTTCTTAATTCTTGTTAAATACCCTGATTTTTATAAACAGTAAAATTCTTCGCTGAAATTTAATTATTTAAGGGAGTATTCTGGTCTATAGGCCTCAATTTTAGGCGTTTTTCCGAGTAGAATAAAAAAGAAAGTTTAACATTTTTAGTATTTACTTTTCTTGCAAGTTGTTTATTAATGTTTAAAGAGTACAGAAAAAAATTAGGAAACAAAATAATAAAAAAATTTAAAAGTTATAAACTGATGAAGTGGGGACTGAAAAAAAGAAAGCGAGTACTGGTTGACAGTGTGGAGACTTTTGTAATGTTCTAAAACAAAAAACTCAAAGAAATTCTTGATTATTAAAGGCTTCGCTATGGTCGGTACCTTGGAAAAGAAAAAATAAAATTTTTTTAGCAAAATGGCGACGATTTAAAAAAAAATGGTGTTTTTTGATTCTGTTTTTTAACTTTTTTGAATTTTTTAAAAATAGTAAAAAAAATATTTTTCAAAATCCAAGGTTCCGACCATAAAGAGATATACAAAGAACATTTCTGCAAAATTTGAAGTAAATCGGTTGAGTAGATTTTGAGTTATCGTGTCAACAAGAATTTTTTTCAATTCCCGCTTCACCAGTTCATAACTTTCAAAAATTTTTGATTATTTTTTTTCCTAATTTTTTTCTGTATTCTTTGAACATAAACAACTAATAAACAACTTGCAAAAAAAGTAAATATTAAAAATGTTAAACTTTCTTTTTTATCCCACTCGGAAAAACACCTTAAAATTGAGGCCTCTAGACCAGAATAACCCCTTAAAGAAATAATAATAAAATTCTACGCAAACATTTAATTATATTTTCATAAATAATAAAAATTTCCCAGAATTTCAATTATTTACCAATTTTTTAAATAGACATGTGCTATTAATTGTTCTGAGAAGAAAAATATTTTTTATTGTTCTAAGGGAGGTGATTCGTCCCTCGAATATATATCGAGAATACAAACACATATAGACATGTGGAGAAATATACAATAACGTGTGGGTAGTGCTCGCTTTACTACTGGGCCTCGTAAATCCATTTATTTATTTATTTATGTACGAGATGGGGGTCTCTGGCCAAATGTGTAGGTGGAAGGAGGGAGGAGGCTTATGGTGCAGTAGGCATGAGGCAAAAAGGTTGGCTGGCAATACTACGCATAGAAAGTATCCCATGGGATCGAGAGACAGGGGATTTCAAAAGTCACGGAGACCGAAACGCCGTTCGAGAGATGGGTACACGTTCATACTGTCTATACCGGAGGTAAAGTCTCCCGAGGCATCGGGGGGTTGAAACGAAAATGGTGTTGTGCCACTTAGCCGGAAAGATCTCATATACATATATTGCTGTACTCTGCTACTGCATTTTCTTCACTCTTTTTTTTTCTCTTTTTCTCTTTCACTTTTACTCTCATTCTCTCTTTTTATTCCTAGGCTTTGAATCGTCATTTTTTAACGCCTGAATATTTAATGTCGAAAGCTACTTATCTCTCTTCCTTTCTCGCTGTTTGTTTTTTGTCACCCTTTCCACACTCATTAGGTTTCTTTTCTTCTAAATCCGCATTTCTTTCCCTTCGAATTTTATCCCCTTTTTTTTGATTTTAAGATTATTTTATCGGCTGCACTCTCTTGAAATCTAAGTTCGTATTCTCTAAATCAGAACTATATAAATGCATTTTAAATTTAAAAAAGAAATTCTCGTCAAAATCCCAATTATCTTATTATAAATAACAAAATTCTTCCCTAAACTTCAATTTAATTTCGAATCAATTTCAAATTCCCAAAAATAGTACGCAGACATTTAATTATTTTCATAAATAATAGAAATTTCTCAAGAATTCAATTATTTGCAAATTTTTTTATAAACTCCTTCGCAATAATTCAATTATTTTTATAAATAATAAAACTGTTCTCGGGAAATTAATTATTTTCATAAATATTAAAATTCATCGCAAGATTTTAATTATTTTTTATACAATTTTAATCAAATTCCTCGAAAAATGTAATTATTGTTAAAATTTTTATTGAAATTCGTCAAAAGAATTACAATTATTTAAAAATTTGTCGATAAAAGTCTTTATGAGATTTCAATTTTAACAAACATTCAATTATTCAATTATTCTTCTCAAGAATTCAATTATGTGAATGAATAACAAAATTATTCCAGAAAATTAAATTATTTTGAAGCATTTTAATAAAATTCTTTTGTAAAATTCAATTATTTTTCATAAATAACAATATTCATTACAAGAAATCAATTATTTTTTAAAGTAATAAATTTCTTCTTGGAAATCCAATTATTTTAAAAAGTTCCAATAAAATCTTTCGCAAGAATTCAATTATTTTCATAAATAATAAAAATGCTTTTTAGAAATTCAATTATTTAAAAAAAAAAATTAATAAAATACCACACAGACATTCAATTATTGTCAAAAATTTTAATTGAATTCTTTGTAAAATTTAA